ATGCGCGCGGCGGGAGCTCGGCCTGGCCCGGCCTGCGCGTCCCTCGCGCCCGGCCCCCGCATTTGGGTCACGCTTCCCTCAGGGCTCGGCGCGGGAGCCGCGGCTGCGCCGGGCTCTGAGCTTTGCTGCCGCAGCTTCAAGGTCGGCCACGCAGCCGGGTCAGCACGGCGGGAACAGGCGGTTTGTGAGGCCGCTGTCACCCTGTGGGAGTGGAGCTGCGCTCCTTCCCTGGCCGGGCCAGCAGCTGATCCCCCCCTCCTTCCCTCCGCTGCACACTTTTCCTTGCGTTGGCCGTGTTAATGTCCTCACGGAGAAACTTCTCTTGTTTGTTGGTTTTTTAGCTGCTTTCTCCTCTTCCCCCCCCCTCTCTTTGTCAATTTTTATAGCCTTTCACACTGCAGTAGGTTAATTTCTTTATTTGTTTTCTCTTACTTTTAAAATATTTCTATGAAGCTCTCCCTTGGCTACTATTGAACTATTTCTACACCCTATTTTTATTCTTTGAACTGATTTTCTGCCTTCCTTAAGCAGTCCAAGCGAGTGGGTTTGCGTGGAAGCTGAAAAAGGGAACCACGAATCTTCCTGGGTTTTTCCCTCCTTGCAACCTCTTTGAAAGATCTGTGCCATCAGAAAGCATGCCATTAATAGCAATCCATACCTTTTTATACCTACACCCTACTTTTTTAGGGTATGAACTTCGCTTGGCTGCACTTTGGGTTGTTTATTCTGGAACACAGAACGTGCGAACTGTGGAAAGCAGTGAGTAAGCTTGGGAAGAACAAAGTAATCAATAATGCATCTGTATTTGGGTCTTAACACTGGACATTCCAAGGGTCAAAAATAAAGTTTTCCAAGTTTTATTTTAATGTCAACATTTTTTTTTTAATGTAACTGCTTAGAAGGCAGTTCTTTTACCTTTCCTGGGATAAAACCTGTGACATGTCTATGCAGGCATGCAAATAACATAAAATGAATGAGAACCTACAGCTGAATCAAAGGAGTCTTCTATAGGCACATAAAATAACATTGTTACTTTGATAAAAACATGAACAAGACTTCACTAGCCTGAATGGGAAGACTGCAATTGTGGATAATGACTTGTAGTAAAATAAGTGATGGAGTCCCTCCTGTTCCTTTAAAAGGGAAAAGAAAAATTAATCCCAGGTCTCATTACTACTTTCTGTGTTTTCCATCCCCAAGTCCTCCATCACATAAAACAGACGTGGGCTATTGATGTTCTCCATCACTTATGTCTAAATAGCTTACCTCCTCTTTCATCTTTTTGCCTTCCACTCCATCCTCCAGGAAATTCACTTGCCTCTGCGTTGTTCCATTTTTGCAATCTTTGCATTATCCTTTGTTGTCTATCTGTAATATTGCCCCAGTTTACTGACAGGTCTCCAAGCGAAGGCTTTGAGGCTTCATTATGATGTACTTGAGGTTTATTGATCGTGGCTGCAGTGTGGTGGTATCCATCAGCATTTACAGAGGTCACAAACATCCCTGGCATTTTACACTGGGATCACTGCAATGGAAGGCATAGATTATGTTGGAAGTGAGATTTTCATTGCTACAGAAAATTTCTGCTTGGGATCTGGAATCTCCTTCCTGCTTGCTGCTTTCGTATTAGCACCCTGTTCCTTTATCCCATTCCCTCATTTCCTACCTCTGCATGCATGTGTGCACAGAACTCTTAATGGACTTGTATCCTCTCTATTTCTTCTGTCCTTCTACCCCACGATATTTTTAATTTTTTTTTACCCAATCTATCTTTTCCTCTGCCTGACTTCTCACAGGTATAAATTGTTCCCCTACCAGCATTGACAGTGATAGATTAAGGATGGAATTACTTATCTGCACCTTGTAATCCAAACAGAATCGCAGTCTGCTGTTAGCAGTCCACAGGGGTTGCTGCCGAATAAATTGGAATGCTGGTAGCTGTGCTCACTGAAGCTTCTCTCATCTTGAATACGTGAGAAAGAGGGGAAGAGGAACCCTGTGGATTTAAACAAAAAAACCCCCCAACAACAGAGGGTGATGGCCTTACCCTAGAGATGTGTTTATTTCATTCACACATTTAATTCTTCCCTCAAACAAAATAAGATTATTTTGAGTGGGAAGTGCCCCTTCTCTCATGTGAGCAGGAAAAGTTTACCTGACAGCCACAAGACCCTGAAATTTGAAGTCCCATTCCCTTAAACCAGCAGTTGAACTGCACGTGTCGGGTGTGGCTCGCATTTCATCTGGCTGCCTTCTGCAGCAATGGTGGAACTGCATCTCCAGCAGGAGTGGCAAGGAATTTCAGACCCCAGGTAAGGCTTTACAAAGGGGATTAAACTGAGGTTGTGCACTCTTTTAGACTGAGGTATGGTTGATGTTCCAGATTCTGTCAGGCACTGCATAGGTCACTTCATTATCTTCTTCACAGAGCATACCTGTTATAAAGTGATTTTTTTCTGAGGCAGAGTTCACTAATATTACTCGGACTTGTTTCCACAGTTGTTCATCTGTCGATGCAAACA